CTTCTTTTAAAAATAATAACTTCACTATCATCGCTATCGTAATTCGAATCCTCTATTATATTGCTCGTCTTACGTTTAGAAGGCATTTAATTGCTGAAGGGCATCAAATAAAAATATAAAAAAGTTATACTGTAGAATACAAAAAAAATAGTGAAAATTTTACTGTACATACCTTTTATATATGCAATAAAATATTTAAATTATATTCTTATATTATATGACGTAACCCAGACGCTGATAAATCTGTACTTACGTTCAGAAAGATGGCAGAACATCAATGAATTGAAACAATTACAGCTACTGTATAAATCTGAAAACAGCGCAATAGCGCTCCTTGGCATTCTTGGAGAGGAAATAAGACAATCGCTTTTGCGCCGCTTGGCACTTTTGGACGGGAAAACAGCAAAGACACGTGGCACTCAAACGGTTAATCCAGTAACCCTACATACTCAGTTCCTTTTCCTGCCCAGGTCCAATAGTTTAACTTGTCTATCATGCTCCAGCTTTCCTGTACCGTTTTGCCACATTTTCTCCGCTACAGTTAGCGTTGGGGTAAGCTTGAAGCATGCAACAACATCGCGCTATAAAAAATAAACGTTAATGTGCAAGAAAACGTCGATGGCCTTGAAAAAATTCGAATTGGGCACGCTTCGAAACCATTTAAATACCACTGTATCATTTTTTCCTTACTTTCGTAATAACAGAAATAGCTTAGATGTTCAATATAAATGAATCACCCTGTATACAGGGTATATGAAGACCGAAGGCTTCAAGACCCAACACTAACTATTACACTAACCTTTCATTCTCCGCTCTATCATCTCGCGGAATCCTCTTCCTCCTGAATCAGCTTCAGCACCGCTGCCTACACCTGTGCCTTCTAGCGACTTTTTCACACTCTCCATTCATTTTGTGGGCTTACCCTTCTCAAAGTCCCTCGACTCTTCTCTCAAGCAAATCCTTGGCCATCTCTCCTTTTTCATCCTTAAGACTTTACCAATATACAGGGTGTTCCAAAATTATTGTACAAGCGGAAAATGAGGAGTTCCTGAGGTCGTTTGAAGTAACTTTTTCCTTTACGAAAATTTTCTCCGAGGCATCTTTAACGGGTTATTAACAAAAAACAGTGACCAATGAGAGGCGAGCTCGGCGAGCGACGCGAAGCGGCCGAGCCAATAAGCGGAACCGGGCTTCGTGCGCTCGTTGGTTCGGCCGCTTCGCGTCGACTAATCTCGTCTCTCATTGGCCACTGTTTTTCGCTAATAATTCGTAAACGAAGCCGCGGATTGCATTTTCGCTAAGGAAAAAGTTACTTCAAATGACCTCAGGAATCCCCCATTTTCGGATTGCGAGACATTTTTGGGACACCCTGTATGGTTGCTCTCGCGAGAGCAGTAATTATCACCTCCCCTTTTCTTTCTTCCGTCAACCAAATGTACATATGCCAGAGTATTTGGAGCCAATCCTATGACCATTTTGGCATACCTGTTCTGCACTCTTTCTGCCTCTATACACCTTCCACACTCCCATACGTCAGCTACATATAGCAGTCTTGCCCTAACTGTAGTGTCCTTCCTTTTTAGATTGAGATGACGACCAAAACGAAAATAATGGAAAAAAACCGAAATCTTAAAACTTTATTATATCTCTGATAAACATGTTTCATTAGCGCTTACTTTATAGTGTAGTTATACAATATTACAATGTAATATGTAACGAAAAATGATCTTTTAAGTATAAAACTGACATAAAATTCGTGCTAGCTGTTTCGTCACTCAAATCGTATTTATTCATTTTGCCTATCGTTGAGCATACAGGATATTCACGTTACGATATGGCAGACAGATAGACACTATCATCAATGTTGTAGCGAGATTAATTATGATCGCGCGTGGTTGGGTAAAAAATGTTCAGAAAAACCATAAGCGAAAATAATCATTCGTGTTACTACTCGAATAAATAATTGATAAACCATTCGAACAACTAGAAAGAACAACGTGTTACGAACAACGATTGTCTTATTTAATTATTCTCCGAACAAACGATTCGACTTCGAAGAATATATTCGAATAATTATCTCAAATTAATATTTATACAAAACTATTCGACAAATTACCATCTTTATCTAGAAAGCTAGTGCACGAAGAGTTTTGACAGAAATCGTGTTGCAGAGAGGTTTGCGGACGTTGGTGGTCGCGTACAAGAAAATGAACCAGAAAGAATACACGAGGCTGATTGGCAAAGTACAAAGGGCCAGACAAGTGATCGGTATAGAGCGAGCGATGCGCACAGAGAAAGCCTACAATCAAATGGAGGGCGGTCTCACTTTGCTAGGTGTGACCGCTGTGGAGGATCGTCTTCAAGACGAGGTGCCGGAGACGCTCGAGTGTTTGCGGGTCGCGGGCATCAAAGTGAGACTCCCAGAGCTAATTGCCATCAAACCGTAACGCGGTTTCCCAAATTTATCAACTCAATCAAAATCAAATCTCCCCTTCTCTATTGTCTATCCTTACGCGGGACAGATATGGGTGCTGACTGGAGACAAAGCGGAAACCGCGGAAAACATAGCCTTCCTGTGCGGCCAATTTAAAGAGGGTACGGAGATATTGAGAATGGTGGACTTGGAAACGCCGCAAATATGCATCGACCGTATTGCGTACTTCGAGTGAGTGTAATCTGTTCTTCATCGGACGCGTTGCTAGTACAGCAATTTCTCCCTAATTTGCGCTCGAATTGCGCACAAAAATGGACAAATTCGGAAGAGGAGATTTGATTATTCATTGTCATTCAAATTGTCCATTTTTCTGCGCAATCTGAGCGCGAATTAGGGAGAAATTATTGTATTTGGGACTAATTTCGATAATCCAAATTACCAAAAGTATTACACTTACAGTAAATTCTTCCTAATTCGCGGCACAAAAATGGACAATTTAGAGAGAGGAGATACGATTATTCGAGCCTTGCAGCTCGTTTTTTAATAGAAGTTGACAATTGGTAACTATAAAATAATAATAGAATATAATAAAAGAATATAATATAACAGAAAAATATAGTATAATAAAAGAATAATCGTATCTCCCCTTCCCAAATTGTCCATTTTTGTGCGCAATCTGAGCGCGAATTAGGGAGAAATTACTGTATTTGGGACTAATTTCGATAATCCAAATTACCAAAAGTATTACACTTACAGTAAATTCTTCCTAATTCGCGGCACAAAAATGGACAATTTAGAAAGAGGAGATACGATTATTCGAGCCTTGCAGCTCGTTTTTTAATAGAAGTTGACAATTGGTAACTATAAAATAATAATAGAATATAATAAAAGAATATAATATAACAGAAAAATATAATATAATAAAAGAATAATCGTACCTCCCCTTCCCAAATTGTCCATTTTTGTGCGTAATCTGAGCGCGAATTAGGGAGAAATTACTGTATTTGGGACTAATTTCGATAATCCAAATTACCAAAAGTATTACACTTACAGTAAATTCTTCCTAATTCGCGCTCAAATTGGGCACAAAAATGGACAATTTAGAAAGAGGAGATACGATTATTCGAGCCTTGCAGCTCGTTTTTTAATAGAAGTTGACAATTGGTAACTATAAAATAATAATAGAATATAATAAAAGAATATAATATAACAGAAAAATATAATATAATAAAAGAATAATCGTACCTCCCCTTCCCAAATTGTCCATTTTTGTGCGTAATCTGAGCGCGAATTAGGGAGAAATTACTGTATTTGGGACTAATTTCGATAATCCAAATTACCAAAAGTATTACACTTACAGTAAATTCTTCCTAATTCGCGCTCAAATTGGGCACAAAAATGGACAATTTAGAAAGAGGAGATACGATTATTCGAGCCTTGCAGCTCGTTTTTTAATAGAAGTTGACAATTGGTAACTATAAAATAATAATAGAATATAATATAACAGAAAAATATAGTATAATAAAAGAATAATCGTATCTCCTCTTCCCAAATTGTCCATTTTTGTGCGCAATCTGAGCGCGAATTACGGAGAAATTACCGTAACTCCGTGGAATGTAACACCACGAATAATAAAAGCGTGTTTCTACTTGTTTTAGACGGCGAATGATCCTCGAGCCTCACAAGCAATACGGTCTATTGGTTGACGGATGCAGTATATCGATAGCGTTGCATAGCTGCCCAAATGAATTCCGATCAATCGGAATGACCTGCGAGGCGGTGGTTTGTTGCAGATTGACTCCTTTGCAAAAAAGCGAGGCAAGTTACCGTAAAACTAAATCGCGTCTTCTGTGGAACAGTCGGTCTGATATTTCGCGATTTCCATTACACAGATAGTGAGTTTAATTAAAAAAGCAAGCACAAGGCCGCAAACCGCTGCCATCGGTGACGGGGGCAACGACATTGCTATGATACAGGAAGCACACGTCGGGATCGGGATAATGGGCAAAGAGGGTCGCCAAGCGACCATGAGCTCCGATTTCGCAATAGCAAAGTTTCGATTTTTGAAGAAAACGCTGCTGGTTCACGGCCAGTGGTACTACATGCGGATCAGCACTCTGACACTGTATTTCTTTTACAAGAATATATTATTTATCACGCCGCAGCTGCTGTTCGGTATCCACAGCGGTTTCTCTCTACAGGTAACGTACGAAATGCTTGAATGGAAACGCTGCCAATACGACAGGATATACGGATTCGACGATTTTCTTGCAGGCACTTTACGATGGCATGTTTTTAATGCTTTTCAATGTATTATTCACGTCCATTCCGATATTAGTGTACGGAGTAATGGAACAGAATTACTCCGCCGATAAGCTACTACGGTTTCCGTATCTATACAAAATGTACAGAAAGAATTATTTGTTGAGCAGTAAACAGGCGTTTATATGGAGCATTCTAGGTAAATGATCATTCAATTCTCGGAAGCGCTTACGAAATAATTAGCATGCTTAATTAATAATGACGTCAATTTCTAATCAGGTGTTTGGCATGCTATTGCTATATATTTTATGACGCAAGTTTTCATTAGTATTAATCCCGTCAGTTTATTCAATAATACGCCAGTGGAACAGTGGACATTCGGCACATTCGTTCTTCACGTGGTCACGTTACTGGCCAATGTAAAGGTACATACACGTGCGTCTAATATAGCTATGGATACAAAAAGTAGAATTCATGAATGCTCACTTTCAGGTATTGGTTTACAGTTCGTACTGGACGATACCGTTGGTTTTGTCAGTGATACTTTCCGAGTTAGCGTTCATCTTGTTTACAGTTTACTACTCTTTCGTACGCCAGTAAGTATATCGGAATTTTTCGTTTGCACTACACTGTAACAACTGCATTAAGGGGAAGCCCTTGAGTAAACCGTTAAAATAAGGATAATTTTCGGCAATGTTTTTATAACGTAAAACATTGACGAAATTTCTCGTCACTTTCCATACATTTTCTCTGATACTTCAAGATACATAAATTTCGTTTTCGTTATAATCTATCGACTTTTACTGAAATTATGACTCTTATTCTCCATGAACCTCCCGCTCGACGGGGTTGATCGGCGTGCAGTCTAGCATTTTTTCCTTTGGTTTAGAACAAAAAATGAAACGGAGTTATTTTCATAATAAAACTACGCGTTGCTTGAACCTAAATCCATTTTAAAAAAATGCAAAAGCAATGATAATACGGTGTACTGAAAACAAAGGAGTGATTCTCACGAACAATTTTTATTTTAATTATGCAATGAACATAATTTGAAGAATTAATATTATGAATTAATATTATGGTTCACACAATGAAGGGTAAAGCAGTTTAATGATTTCGCCGTAAATGCGTTCATTTTTTTCCAATTCTTTAATAACGCTTTATTTTATCATTCAAAATAAATACATTAATCGGGAGTGGTTGGAAAAAAAAGTAATGTGCTTTTAATAGTTTTTTGAAGACAAGTGATATTCGTAAATTCTTCCGCGTAATTCTGCAAGATGACCGCAACGATTCGATGATTTTTTTAGTACGTTACAAACGACGATATTTTTAACAACTTCTTCCTTTGCGCATAATAAACGATCGGCTTTAATATCCGAGATATTGGCAAAATACTATTGATAACATGCGAGCTCGTGGCTACCGCGATCCACTATTATACAGGGTGGGTCGTAATTCGTAGTGGGCAGGGGATGATTCTACGTGAGAAAAGAAGAAAAAAATTTGGAAACACTTTTTCATCCGGGACTGAAATAAAAATTTTACGCGTGAATCGCTCCTTTGTTTTCCGAGCAGCGTATATTATCGTTTCTCCCGTATTTTTTGTAAACAAGATTTAAGCTCATACGAGCTTAAAAAAACTGCGTTTTATTCTCTGTTCTAAATCGAAGGGAAAAAATGCTAGACTGCACGTCAAACAACACTGTCGACCGAGAGATTCATGGAGAACAATATTTACTGTTTCAGTAAACGATGATAAAACGTAACGAAGACAAAAATGTATCTCGAAATGTCAAAGAATGTGTGTGTGAGAATTGACGAAAAGTTCCATCGACGTTGTATTGTACATTATAAAGAAATTGCCGCAAATCATCCTTATTTTTTATCGGAGTTACGCGTGGCTCCCCCTCCCCCTTGATTGTTTCCTGTACAAACAAACGATAAAAGCGAAGTTAATAAATCAGCAGAAACGTGTGGTCTCTGCGACAAGTTCCACCTTGTTCTTTAACTACGCTTTCGTAAACACGCGCGGTCTTAAAACCAAGAACGAAAAACACTGTGATTTCAGACGGTACGACGGCGACATGTTGTCCGTCTTCCCGAAAATATTATCATCGGTATCGTTGTGGCTGCTGGCTATAGTGATCGTGATTATCTGCCTAATACCTGACTACATAATATTGACGTATAGCAGGTACATGCCTGCCCGCATAACGAGGAGAAACGAAGAACATCCGCGAAACGTAGTCAGTCATGCAAGCGACAACGGAGAGACACAGTCGTCGGAAACAAGGGTAATGATTATACGTTTCGTAGACGCTAGGACAAGGTGTTATTATACCCAGCCAGCCGAAAATCATATCCTTGTATTGCAGTCCCAAGGATTGTTCCGCTTAAAACCGTGGAAGAGCCAATTCACACCAGCCAAGATTGTATAATTATGACGGCAAACGACTATCGAATTAGTGATTTATAGATAACCTCCAGCAAAACGTAAGTCACACATTGAATTATGCCTCCTCAGCTTTCGCGAGGAGGTTGATGTAACGCGGCTATTTCAACGGGAATCTATTATTTATTTATTTATTTAATATACATATGTGTATGTGTTATAGAAGAATCGCCCGTGTAAATTGTAGAGCTATTTATTTTAATGATACTCGATGCTCCAGGCGAGATATTTATTAGATAGGTGAAACACAAAATTCAGTTAACACAAATTACCACGAAAACAGCGATGCACGAAAATAGTATTGGCGGTACTTTTTGCGGGGTGCATGATACTTTTTATCAGATATCAAACAACAACTACACACATCACAGTTTGAGGTTTGACAAAGCTGAAGCTGCAGTGATCGATCGCAGCTGTTGCTGTTACGTGCACTCATAGCTCCAGCATCCTGACCGTTCGCGAAATTTCCACTCTCAAGACCAGTGTGTCTGTTGGTGTCTAGTGTGTCCAAGTGGCGGAGAGGAGACCTCGCAAATGGAATTGGAAGATTCCAATCGATTGCCAATGGAAATCCATTGGCATCGTCCAATGTCATTTGTGATGGGTAATTCTCCCACTCTTACTTTCCTAAAAGAATGTCGTAAAGTGGTTAGAATGCTGTGAGGTCTGCGCGCACTTGACCGCCTTGCACGAGCACAAAGTGTGCATAGTATGTACATGCAAACCGATTCGTTATACTCGCATATTGCCTGCATGTAAAGTACGTAATTTTCTGTTATTTTGCCGATTTTGTTCGATGATCTACATCAATCGGATTTACCGGTATAGGAACTCCAAACACGGGAAAATAAAATAGCAGATAAAAATTTTGAGAAACAGGTTATGTCAAGGTTATTAGTAGTTACTTGAGTTTGCGGGACCGGGAAAAGTAGATTTTTGAAATAGTAAATAGAGTGTACATATTTTTATATCTTGTCATGTAGTACAGAATTCGGCAGATCAACTTTTTTTGAAACAGTAGTTGCATACCGAAAATAGCATTTCAAAAATATATTTAACTAAGTATTATCCATATATGTAACTACTATTTCAAACAAAGTTTATTTGCCAAATTCTGTATTATACATGAGAAAATAAAAATATTTATAGTTTATTTACCATTTCAAAAATCTATTTTTCTCGGCTCTGCTTGAATGAAATAATGTAAATGTAAGCAATCTGCCACGCGAATGAAACGACACGGTGTCAGGTTGTATTGTGCTTTGTGGCAACGTTCAGGCTCAGTGTTTAGTTGCGTGTAGAATTCGTCTGATCTAGTCATACTATTAGTTTTGCGCAATACATACTGTAAGTTTAATTTAGAATCATTCCTTTTTTTTTTAGTCTTGTGATAAATAGTGATCATGTAATTTGGATGTGAGTACCGCCTTTTTATACTATTTAAATCCACTAGAGGATCACGGTGTCCTATGTAACCAGGGAGAATTGAAAGATTATAAGTAAATGAAACTTATTACTTATTTATAACACAAACCGTTTATATAATAAATGTTAATATAACCGTTGCCAAAAACTCCGACATGTTTGAACACTGTGGTTCTCTAATCGTTTATTATTTTATTTTATTTATTATTTTAGTTATTTAAAATTATTATTTTATTTAGTTTATTTATTTAGTTAATTAGTTTATTTAGGTTATTTAGTTTTTATTTATTATTTATTATTTTAGTTATTTAAAATAGGGTGAAACAAAGAATAAATCAACATGGAAGTAACTAGGTGTGCTCAAACTTTCCGACTGATTTATGAATATATTTTGTACTATTGAAGTAATGACATTTTATATTAAAATTATCGTAAATCTGAAGCCGTCTAACAGTCTGAGTTCATTCACTTTAAACCAAACAGATCCTTCGAATTTATTTAAAACACACGACATGCAAAACTGAGAAATAAATTTAGGAAATAATGTACACGGTTATTGAATGAAATTCGATAATAGCCAAAAGCCAACGAACGAACGTAAGGTCAAATGTTACCATGTGGAATGAAACTTGAACTTTGTCTTTATTGAACAGTCACACGATTGACAGGCCGTTAACGAATTCCACGCATTATCATTATTACACATTCAAATCTTTCGAGTTCAAGGTGCCAATTGTAGTGAATAATGACAGTGGGGTATCTCGCAACGAACGAATATACTACAATGCAGGGGAATATATAATCGGTCCACAGTGGGACAAACGGCGAATCTAGAAGTAAAAATATTCTACTTAAGCAGTAATGTTATTTATGCTGACTTGTATGTGGTCGATATATACGAGAGACTTTAAACTTTCATTTTCTGTCGATTTTAATCGCAAAAAAATTTTTTAGTCGCAAAAATTAAAAGAAAAATTGTTATTATTAAAAATGGATGACAGTGTGTTTCTATTGACACGTCCTCGAACATCAAAAATTCTTCAATCACGTTCCGTATTGCCCATATCAAATTCGTATTGAATTCGTATAGAATCATTCTAAATGTTCTATCCATTGTCCAATATTTGGCTTCAGCTAAAATTTATATGTTATCATCTGTTGTACCTCTATCACGGTAATTTCCGATTCCTCCGAAAAGATATGAACGAAACGTTTATTATCTAAATTTTTGACGGCTTATTTTTTCTTTACACGTGAAAAACTTGTTGCTTCAAAGTATACTCTGCGGAAGATAAGGCCGGCGGCACTTGTCTGTGTTCGGAATCACATCACTGACAATATGACGTGGTTTATCATTACATTAGAAATAAATAATCCCTGAACTCTATTTGAACATTTAAGAATTTTTATTCGCGATGCTTTTGCAGAATGATTATGTGTTACTGGATCGTGATAACGGACGTCATGTTTTCTATTTATCACTCCAACCGGGAGTAATGCTGCCAAGCTTTTAGCCAGTGTTTCAGCGTTCTATAAAATTCTTAGAGTGATAAGCGTTAATATCGCGTTCGTCACAGTTCAACATCCGCAGCCCGTTCCTTTAAAACTATTTTATTCATAAACCAGACAGATATGTGTAAAGGAATAATCCAAGAAGACACACGCGAATGAGAATAACACCAAAAGAAAAATGAGAGCGATTAAACGGTTATGCGTGAAAATGTTTGGAGCAAATAATCTTTAAGAGATCGCAGACGAATCGAGAAAGAAAATATATTCGAAAATCAGGCTATAAAAGTGAAGAAGTCGTTACATACCCAGCAGTCTTTATTATTTGTCTTTATTATTTCTGTAAACGAAATCGCCAATAGAAATTTTTGGATTTCCCCGTTTTGGTTCACCACTTCTGTCACATTTTCAAAATTCTAACTTATTGAACTCATCGCCACAGAACTAACACGTGTCAAAGCACAGGGTGCACTGCAAAAACCGGTGAAATAATATCAACAAAACCAACCCTTCAACGCCTTGAACGAACATGATTGAAAAAAACTGTTGATGTTCTTAGTCGATATAGGACTAAAACTTAATATTTCATATTAAAATCCTATTTTGTGTAAAGTCATTGTTTTCAGTAATAACTGTGCTATGTATTTAATAATAATATTAGGTAATATATATACATATATCAATATCAGTCAATGTATCCCATAACGAACGAGATTCTAGGACGAACAAGACTCTATGTACGTAGTTCGCTATAGGATACCCCACTGTATCACGCTTATTTATACATTATTTCTAAATGTACATATGCAGGATGAAAAATTAGTCCCCACGATTTTTCAGCCCCTTCCGACGGTCCGAAAAAGAATGTTTCCTACCATGGTTAATTAGTATTTAACTAACAAGAAATTGCAATTGTTTAAATTTAAAAACAAATTGATTTTCGATAAAAAGAAATAAGGTCACCGTTATATTTTTAAATGAAACTAGGTAATTTTAACTTTATAGTACTGTAGGTGACGTCGACACGAATTCAACGATCTGCTACATGATGACTTTCAGATAATATTGAAGGAAAAATTGCTATTAATCGATTGCCACAATATGTGAAATAATTTGACGACACGTAACACCAAGGCCTCGCATGTAAACATAGACAAATGAACGTAAACTATTACTAACTACAGTAAATCCTCCCTAATTGACATTCAGATTGTTCATACAAATGCACAATTTAAGAAAAGGAGATACGATTTTACGACCCTTGCGCGATCCATTTTTATAGTTGTTGACAATCGGCGACTATAAAAACGAGCCAAAAGCCTCCAATAATCGTATCTCCTCTTCCCAAATTGTACATTTTTGTGCACAATTTAAGCGTCAATTAAGGAGAATTTACTGTAGTTAGTAATAGTTTACGTTCATTTGTCTATGTTTACATGCGAGGCCTTGGTGTTATGTATCATCATGTAGCAGATCGTTGAATTCGTCTCGACGTCGCCTACAATACTATGAAGTTAAAATTATCTAGTTTCATTAAAAAATATAACGGTGACCTTGCTTTTTTATCGAAAATCAATTTGTTTTTAAATTTAAACAATTGCAGTTTCTTATCGGTTAAATAATAATTATAGATAATAAAGATATTAAAGATAAAAGAATGATAGGAAACATTTTTTTCAGGTCATCAAAAGGGGTTGAAAAATCGTGGGGACTGATCTGTGACTCAGCCAGTATATACATTCATTGTAATGAAATTCAGCCTGCCTGTATTTAATGTAATTCAAGAGATGTATACATATACTAACATGCTGTGAGAATACTTATTTCTGAAATTGTCATTTCGGAGTTTATTAAGTTATTCATGGCTTTTTGGACATGCATAACAATATTATTATATAAATAACAACCACACTAAAAGTGACTGACGCGTGCTGCCATATGTATAAAAATGACAAGACTGATTTTACTTAGGCTTTTCAGTATTTTTATTATAATACGTGCTTAGATTAAGAAATTTATTGAATCATTTCCTATAAAAGAGTCTTCGTAACTTCCACAATTTTTAAATATAAAATGTGGAACCGACCAGTGTTAATGTAATGCCACCGCAATGCATACAAGCCTTGGGTCGATAAAATGAACATCCCCTTCGACATAGTAGAGGCGCGGATGAGCTACACATAAGAGTAGACTCAGCATCCAATGTATTTCTCCATCGTACGAAAATTGCGTGTCGCACTCATCGTTATCGATATTTCAGGAATGCAAGCTGCTTAGAATGAATGAAAATCGATATAACTCAAATTCATACGACGCGCATATTTAACCAATGAAGATAGTTTCCATAATATATAAATTGACTACAGGATATCACACGATTACTACATCAGTATAAGAAATCTTTGCACATCCATAAAATTAAAAAATTTGTTACTTGAGTTGTTTTTCTACATACATAAATAAGACTTTAGACATTTCAAAAATTGCAATTAATGGTCTCGATAAAAATGTAAGATTTCTTTGCCAAATCTAAAGCTAAAAGCTTTACAAAATTCGGAAGTGTTGGAATTTCCCAATTATATATTATAACTCCGGTACTATTTTCAGGTAACGATATAAATTACATGTTGCATTAGCCCAATTCTTTTGTTATTACACGTAAGAAATAATAGGTAAGAAAGTGTTGTGATAAAGTCGTTAAACCGAAGACATTCTATAAGTAACACCCTGGTCACGATAGGGGGCCTACATTTTTCTCGGAACGTCCTGTTTTTTTTTATTTATCGAATGGCACATCAGCGGTTTAAAACGGCTGAAAAACAGTTTAACCAATTCTATCCTTCTAATTAAAGCCTATTTCAAAAGTAATTGTAAGTAACTCTATCATCTAGATGCTTGCAGTATGACGCTATTTAAGAAGTATGTATGGTATGATTTTATTTCAAAAAGATATATTAGAGATATAATTATATTCAAAGAGATATTTAGTTGGACTTTTTTAAATGAACTATTTTGTATACGTACGGCCTTGAATGACGGTTCATATTTCAACTTGTGAAGATGTGGAAAGAAAGATAAATTCAAGTTCATAAAGTTCAAACTAATAAAGAAATAAACGATCATTGATCGCAGAATAGTTGATCCTCTTGAATCAATTGGCTAATATCTTGGGGTAAACTTCGACTGATAGAAGTCAGAATTCTTTTGAATTCAAGTTATAGAGGTAAAATACGTGATAAATGGTTCAAGTTAAGAAAGTTTCCTTTTAAGTTTGTAGAGGTTTTTACAACTGTGCAGAAGCCAATGAAGAAGATTTTCGTCTTATTCGAAATCGAGTTATCGAGATTCTACTGTAGTGTACATACATACATACCAGACCTGGGGGCACATTTGAAATAACATTATTTGAAATGTGATCATTTTTGAGATAATAAAATTTGAAATATTATTTTAAGTAACACGTTATTGTATTTTATGGTATTCTAATTATTAACTCCAAGTCTGGTTTATTATGTGTGTATGTTTACATTGCTGCGAGATAAAAGGACTGATTTGACAATTTGAAATGATTACAGTAATTTCTCCCTAAATGTCGTCTAAATGTCGTCCTAAATGTCGGAATTGTAACTAACAAATTTAAGAATCGAAGTCGCGATTATTCGAGCCTCGCGGCTTGCCTTAGTTGCTGACACCTCATAAGAGAGAGAGAGAGAGAGAGAGAGAGAGAGAGAGAAAGAGAGAGAGAGAGAGAGAGAGAGAGAGAGAGAGAGAGAGAGAGGGAGAGAGAGAGATGTTTTAGACCATATTTATTCATTATACATAGCAAGTATCTTATTTTATCTACGAAAAATGCATTAGAAAAATCGATTCTTAACATATGAAATATTAAATGCAACGTCAAAGAAGGTACGTATGTCGTTCGAAAACAAATATCGATGAAGTTATGCTATTTGACTCTACGTTCCATGACAGTAGGAGAAGACGTGGCTCAATTTAAATACGAGGTTCTCGAAACTCAACGCCGATACCGCAATATGTATATATATAATTTTAAAACTGATTTTTTTTTTAACATATTGCCGATACTGATTAAAATGAGATCAAATATTTCTGATTAAATTACATATATATAATATTTATTTATTTATTTATATATATATAGAAAATATTTATTTATTATATTTATTTATATATGTAAATAAATAAATGTAATTTAATCAGAAATATTTGATCTCATTTTAGTCAGTATCGGCAATATATTAAAAAAAAAATCAGTTTAAAAATGTTAAAATAAAAAAAAGTTATGTTATTGTATTATGAGTTGTCTTCCAGGAATTCAAATCAAAGAAGCCCTGGCGCATGTGTTACAGCACATGTGTTCACCGACTCCGTCGAACCTTAGCATCGGTGTAGCGAGAAAATCGATAAATTATTTATTTAGGCAGACATTATACTGTATTTTCTTTCACGACAATATTAGATGGATTCTTGAGGAAAAAGTTGATATAACGATTTCTTAAAATAAGATCTTTTATCGCATATTATTTTGAGAATTATTTCTTTTATCATATTTGAAATAAAAAATAACGAAATAATTAATTATTCATAATCGATATTATTTTTATTGATGAATTATTTCAATTATATATTTCTTATTTTCATTTCAAATAAAATTTGCCCAGGTGTACTACATATGTACTAGAATCGAATCCCGAAAGTTTGACTGACACACAAATATGTTCGGGTACTCGTAATTTCAGGACATTTGATTGTAAATAAATGTAAGGTGCAAGTTAACAAAGTTCTGCAATATGAGGAGTATTGTAGTTCCATTTAAAGTCTGACTGCATGTATTGTTGTTTAACTCTCGAATTACTACAGTTTTGAAGTTTGCACTGATCGAGTCGCTAGTGATTCCGGCATATCATACTGAAGGTTAAATGTTGGATCTCTGTGAAATGAGCATGTGCGAGAACATGTCAAAACCAAAATATAATAAAGCATGCAGTCTATCGTACATAGAATATCGATAAGGTGACACTAAGTGAATGACGGAGCATAGTTAAACTTATATGTATACGAGCAGCTGTCAAACTAAAATAGTGACAGTCGATCAAATGCAAAGGATTCACCATCTGATAACTGATGACAGACGAAGACTTCTGCTCTCGTACCTACGAGTAGAATATTTTGAAAAAAAAACTTGAGCAAACTTTGTGGATTTGTGGATTATTCATCAGTTTAGTTTCCAATTGTAAATTTTATCCGTAGTTCATTAACACATGACATTCTTCATGGCTTTTCAAACATTCATTAATCAACCTTAGAACGAGTAACTGATCGAAGTGGTAACTGTTTTCTGCGTTTCTAAGTTTGTTGTTAGAATTGATGAATAAACTTTAAAAGTATTAACAAGTATTTGTGTGCCAAATTAATGAGTGTCGACATCGTTAATGTTTCATTAACAAATCGAGACTCATCACAGGAACTAATTAAATAAAAATATAAAGTTGAGGTTGTTTTACAGGTACGTTAAACTGAGTAACAATGAGGATTATGTCATGCTATTTCCGACGTATTTTAATAACTGCAGTATTTGTCACTCTCATATTCTGTGCCATCCAAATTTTTCGATCCAAATTTCCTGATAGTGATTCAAATTTGAGTAAATTGTGAGCGAGTTTTTAATATCTTACACTAAAAATATGCTATTGTGACCATTATAATGATTTATGTTCTTTTAGAATATACATATCTCAGTTAATTAAGGAGTCTGAGCAACCTAGTGTTGGGTGTGTAATTTTTAATCCATTGAACAGATATTAAAATGTATAATTCTACCTGCATTTGAAATGTGAGTGACATTGTTTCATATTTCCAGAGGAGTAGTAGCTTGTAAAATACCTCAGTTAGATGTATCTAATCCAGAAATCACAAAATTTATACACGATGTTCCTCCGTTATCATGTAAACCTGATGATTGGGTTACGCTTAGTGGCACAACACTTGTTATTACCAATAAGACTAAGAAAAAGTATGGTTCGGTAACTTGTTTTTTCAGTGGTAAGATAAATGTACTTTGTAACGACATTATTGTGTTAGGTGCAGATGTATGCACTAATTTTAATATATTTTTATCTAGAAATTCTTAGAGAAAGTGACTACAATGTATCTTTTAAGGCTGTGGTTCAATCTAATGATCATTATGAACTTGTAGACAGTGATTTTGTTGATGTACAATGTAAATCTAAAAATGGTGATAAGTAAGTAAATCATATAAAAGAAAATATAGACGATCAAAATAATTAATTATCTTAAATCAATAATTTCTTAGGTGGCACAGTATTATGGCTGGTGTAAAAAATGATCCTAGGGAAAAAGAAGACAACAAATGGGACAATGTTGCAAACAATGCTCTTAAACTGAATGTACTAATGTTAGGTTTTGATTCCTTGTCTCGAAATACATTTATGCGCAAATTGCCAAAAACATATCAGTACTTAAAAGACAATCTAAGTGCTCTGGTTCTGGAAGGATATAATATAGTAGGAGATGGTACACCACAAGCACTTATTCCTATTCTTACTGGAAAAATTGAACTCGAATTACCAGATACAAGAAAACGTATGGGACAGAACGCATATTTTGTCGATATATATCCAATGATATGGAATGATTACAAAAAGCAAGGATATATAACAGGATTTATGGAAGATGTGCACCACATTGGTACATTTACATATCGTTTAAAAGGATTTGAGGAACAACCTACTGACCATTACATGAGAACATACTATTTAGCTGCTGCTCCATATTTCAAGCATTACAATAAATTTTGCATTGGAGGCATACCACGACATATGGTATATTGAAATCTTTTCTGATCGTAATTACAGTTAAGGTAAACGACTGAGGTCACATGTAATTTATGTTATTACAGGTAATGTTAAATTATATTAGAGAAATTTTCAATGTCTATGAACATCAACCAAAGTTTTTGTTTGGTTTTCATGGAGAACTTTCACATGACTCTTATAATGACATAGGAGTAGCTGATGGAGATTTACATATGTGGATAAAAGATTTAAATGAATCTGGTCACTTGAATAACACATTATTAATATTAATGAGTGATCATGGACACAGGTTTGTGCTTAATCAATGTATTACACTCAATAATCTAAATAACATTGAATGTATATTATAAAGCTGTATTAATGAACATATATTTTAAAGATTTGCAGAAATTCGCAACACTTTACAGGGTAAACAAGAAGAAAGACTTCCATTCTTTTCTTTTATTTTTCCTCCATGGTTTAAAAAGACATATCCAAAACCGTATGCAAACTTTTTGCATAACACTCGTTATTTAACAACGCCATTCGACGTGCACAAAACATTAGAAAATATATTGAAATTTGATAATCCGAAAAACGGTGATCGTCACCAAAGAGCAATTAGTTTATTTGATAAAGTAAGTGTAGTATAATTTTTGTATTCACTCGATGTTGAGCCATTTAATTATTAATCTAAACCAATTATAATTCTATAATATAACTACAATACAGATACCATTAGAAAGAACATGTGCAGATGCATTTATAGAACCACATTGGTGTGCTTGTCTTGCTTGGCAAGAAATATCAATTGAAGATGCCAATGTAATCGCTGCGGCCAAACATTTTATAGAGTTTCTTAACAGTTATACAGAGGAGCACCGTAATATATGTGAAAAGTTGCAATTAAAGGAAATATTATGGGCCGCCAAACTTTTACCTAATAAAGGTTATGAAAGAGTCTTAATTTTTACATGGAGAGCTATCCAAATAGCTGCCTTCGGTTATGTTAGGACTTGCACATAGTATGGAATTTGTGACAACTTGCATACAAAGTATCCCGCCTAATTTGAGCATCTCTTAAGTATCTCGTTTATTTTTAGTGATAGAAATAAATGTCAGAGGACACATTTTGTAATATTGTAATAATATTGTAGGTGTTGGATTCGTCTTGTCCGCAGCTATCATACTGTGATGACAAAGACATATAATTCCATTTAAAAAAATATTGATGAGAATGATCATGTAATACTTGTCCCCCTCGAACCAAACACTTTAGTTCTTTTACATTCGTTTTTATCACTAAAAACAAGCGAGATATTTAAGATGCTTAAGTTAAATGGGACTATCTGTACATAAACTAATATTTTGTTTAATATTTATATTTGAGAAGCTGAACTAATTTAAGAAAAATATGGTTACAATAGTAAGTAATTGCAAAAAGGCTTTTTTGCAAACTGAGCTCTATTTATACAATCTGGATATGAATGATAGTTACTAAAAAGAATGGGTATCGAATATTCTTTTAAATTCTATATTATTTTCAAGTTGTAACATTCTCGATAATATTGTATAAAATATATAGTTTGATCTAAAAAGAATTAAATTATAGATTTATTGAAATTTCAAAAGTCTGGAGACCAAGATGGTTTCGTAGGAGATTTTACTGCCAAAACAAAACTAATCAGTGAAACATATCAACTGAAAGTAAAAACAAAACCAGGAGATGGATTGT